TTTCCTGCTTCTCGAACCTTTTCCATGACAATTCATTCCCAGAGGGCCGGTAACGGCGTACACGTTGCAGGACCTGAGACGATCTCAATGCGGCGCATGTCATTCCTTCTAGAGTCGCATCGAGATGGACTGGACGCTTGCGAGCAGCTGAAAAGTATATGTACCCCGAGTACGAGCGCATCAAACTCTGTGAAAGCCGTGTGCGGCTGCCGGCATTCTTGGGCAGCCTTTGAAGATCTGGAGCTTCTAGTGAGCCCTTGTGCGCGCTGACTTTGAGAGACTGGATTAGTAGCTGGAGTCAGGGCAGCCTGCCTCGGCGCAAGCTGGACGCCCTCGTGAGGGCCTTGCTCAGGGATTTCCACCAAAAGCGTCATAGCTTGCGACCAACAGCGTGGTCCACACGGCGCCACTGATGGATCTCAGCCATCGGTTGGTTGATCCTCTCCACCAGTTTCCGGCTCCAGACTGTCGGTTGCGCAGCCAAGGCGATAGTTCAGGGGAGACCGCACCAGATTGTGAGGTCACGTCACACCTTCTGAGCTAATCACGGTGTATGTACACCGCACAGCCGCGAGAAGCGTTGGTTCCTGTTCCAAAATGCCGGACGGTATCGCCAGATCAACTTAGAGGATTGATTCAGACGAGATGGAGTGGTTGACTGACTCGTAGTCTCGGTGCAGTTCACGAGTTAGTACATCGCGTGTCCGGTGAAGCTGGGTACTCTCTGTGCCCACAATTCAGTTTCCCAACCCCACTCACTGCCAAATACAATAGCGGCGGCACAACTGCCGCTGCCCTCCGCGGGCGTGTCGACATCAAATTGCCTTGGTTGACGTGTTGTGAAGCTCCAGCATAGGGAAGTGGCGGCACGCGCGTGCTCGTCGCAGCGATGGATGCATCGGCACTTGGCCAATCCTCCACGAAGCTTCGCTTGGGCAGGCGTCCAGTTGTGTCGAAGCGGAAGGGAGACCCTGATGGAGGCATCGAACGAGTGAACAGTCCGCGGATGAATTTCGACATAGAACGCACGGCCCAAGCTTCTGCACGGGCGTTTGCGCCTCTCCAATGCACCTGCCAAATCTGCTCTCAGCAATTACAACAAGACAAACGACGCTGCTATCACGTCACAAACCCTCACAGTATACATCAAACTCCAGTACAAATGAAGGCGACATGTATACGACGCATGTGAGAGCCGTCCTGTAACCAACTGAACGGGCTGCGGCACTCTTTTGTTTGGCCTTGCTACACAGCTTTCCTGCGCTTGCAACGCTTCGCAACCCCTTGTTGACGCCATGATCCGTAATTTAAGTTGTCCCGAGACAACGTCAAAATGAACAAACAATACCGGACATCTGTGGCAGATTCGTGTCGAAGCATGCATTGCGGGACTCGCTTCAGACGTTCTTTGTTACACAAGCAAACACCCACAACCGAGAACACTTTCAGCCGCCTGCACGAGGCCCAGTATCGCCAGTTCATTACTCGTATCGGCTTATATTATCAGTTGTATATCCCGGAAGCGGGAGATGACGTTTCTTACCCTGCAACGCATAACATATGAGGCGGGGGCTAATGTATACAGGTACCAAACGGGTTGCTTGATGCTCGATCGGAAATCCCTTTGTCTCTGCAATCTCGAACGGCCCTCTGGCTCGGTCTACATCGCCGCCAACCACTACAGTGAGCAAAACAATATATGCCACCTCGAGACCTTGCCAGGGCAAACATGGGTTGGTGACTCGCTAAACTATCTTCTGCGTCAGGCTCACCACCCTGCACACCAACCCGCGCCTCCTGATTGTCCTTCTAATCACAATATCTCTTTTCTTGCGCAAGCGCATATTCTTCGGATGCCTTTGCCAGCCAGTGTGCGGACCGGCTCAGATCGAGACATGACAGCGTCGACTACCAAGGCGTAGATCGGTAGATACAGTACGGCATTCAGGTGACAAAATGATGACCTTATCGTTGTCGAAGCAAGTCGCGGAGTATCGATCGCACACCACAGCTCCCTTTCGAAGGACGCGATACCAACACAAACAACCGTTTGCTCGTCCCAATCTCCTTTTGACTCATTATACACTAAGGCTGATACAACACTCTTGGTAGCAAAAGATTGCATGCAGGTCAACTACAGTACACAGTAACGTTGTGATAAGGCCTACTTGGAGTCGACTCATGCATGCAAGATACTTGATCGACATTAGCAGATCAGTACTCCGAACTGCCCTGCACCCTGAACAAACGCTAGATGCTGCATAAAAGTTCCGGATAGCCGTGGTCGGCCTGACCGTGATGGCCGGTGCTTACTAGTCTCACGACCCTGTTCACGACGAATCGGTCAGCGATGATCTTTCGGCCCTATTCAACAATATTCGCGTCTCCGAGAGTACGGTAACAGCCCCCCCAGATCGAGCTGCCTGTTCTGTCGACCGACATGAACATGGGGATCGAACTTTGTCCTTTCTTGACTTTCGCATCTCGTTAGGATTTTCTTATCGAGATCAACACGAGATGCTTCAATGAGATCACACATCAACAATTCCCTACACGAGAAAGATTCAGTGACGAGGACTCAGACCCTGCTTCTGAATTTTCATCGCTTCACGTCTCATAAAAACCCCTACCGTTTGTTTAAGCCACCGCTTAATGACCCCAACCGCACCTGAGTCAGCGCTTGGGTGGGACACCGACGGCGATGGCAAGAACCTAGCAATGAGTTCTCAGCATTCACCAGCATCCAAGTTAGGTACACCTCCGCACTGAGAGGCTACTGAGAGGCTACTCAGAGGACGCGAATCCGAACACTAACTAGGTATCTCCCATATCTTTCTCACTCGGTGGGGCATAATCTATTTGTCATGTCCGATCTCATGCAAAGCAAACAACGTCCATCCCAACTCAAGACCTGCAGCTGATCTGGCACGAGAAAATTCACGCATGTACGCCAAATGTAGATGTAACGTCCGAAAGTGTTGATCAGAGAGGGGGAATATAGCACCAAGACAACGGCTTCCTAGCCATTTCGGGATGCGTGGACAAATTGCACTAGATCACTTTCCTTTGTCGAACATCCTATGTGAAAGTTCCACAGATCACACAGGTCTTAACAACCAAGGGCAGTCTGTCACGTTGGATAGGAACTCGCCGATGCAGTTGCACACCAGAGCGGCACAGCATCCCTCGTTCACTCCTCCTCAACCCGTATCCACAAAATTCGTCATCAGGGTCCTCGGAACGAATTCCTTCTCGTCAAACCGTTACGACATCCTCCACTCCACTCCACTACACAGACTCCTCAATCCTCAATCTTCAATCCTTGGATCTCTACTAGCCTGTATACGTTTGTCTCGCTTCACGTCAAGTCACGCGTATAAGCGGTTGGATGTATACACGCTACATAAGCGAGAAGCGCGCAGGATGGGCTTCGGCGAGGACAATGCACATCACCCCAAACTGCCATGTCCCATCGTGACGAAGATTGCACATCTACCATGCTTCGAGACTGGAATCGCTAGAAATCCCTCACCTTCTAGCCAGCGATTGGAGGAACATACAGCACGTCCAAATACGCGAACTGTGCCGCAAATCCCTTAAGCAAGGAGACCTCTCCATCGAGAAATTCGCTACCCAAGAACCGGTCTGTCCATACACACACACACACACACACACACATACAATGGCCTTATACAAACAGGCCCCTTCCAAAGGGCTGATATGACGACCGGGGGTTAGCGTTATGCATAGACGCGCGCTTCCTATCAGAATCTCGCGATCCCCGCGCTTCCTTCCATCCTTCCATCCTTCGAATCCTTCCAAGCCCTGTTTTCATGGTCTTGGGGGGTACGTCGTTGCCGCGTCAAGCGACGTGCAGCACCTATTCCTCCGGTGAGGTGGTATGCAGGTAACGCCCACATGCACGCGATATGTGTGACCGCCACAGGCCTATCTTTCCCTTCGATCGGCTATGGGTGCCGGAACGTGTCGAAGTCATGCTTTCAAACGTCCCGCTGTGCGGATCTCTTCATCGGGATGTGAGGCTTGCTCCTCGCCTACCCTAGGCGGTGCGATGGTCATGGTCAGGCTGGCAGCTTCCGATGAGGACGCGAGAGATGGCCACGGTCAAAAGAGCGTGGAGACTACTGCGCCGCAGACATACGTGTCGGGCTGAGGACTGGGTTGGGTACTTCCTCGTTGTGGTAAGGAGAGCGCGACGGAAATGTCACCTGCGAGCTGTCACGTCTGCGTTGGGAAATTCGCGCCGCATGACTAGTTCAAAAGAGATATATGTTGTGGTCTGCTATGTGCATCAGAGCAAGGTTCGAGGGTGGTGGTCTGGGGGTAAAGCTCCTAGATCCCTTAGACCCGGGAGTCGGAAGATCGCATTCGTCCCAGTTGGGCGAGAAGCTGACTGAAAGGGTGACTATGTTATGATAAAATGCGAGATAATGCCTATTCGGTGAGTGTAGTTAACAGCATCCTATACCACAGTGAGCTTAACCCAAACGGTCTCGTTGGGCTCCACTGCTGCTCTCAGCTTGCTTCACTGTCGCAGCTACAGCTACCATAGGATGGCGTTAAGGCCGCAGGTTTTCGGATCGTCTATTGTTCGTCGTTCTCTCTGTTTCCAAGGCGATGTTATGGTGGTATTGCAAGGGTAAGCGATAACGTCTTGATCTCCACCGGTCGTTAACTCCTTCTTCGCCCAGACTTAGCTTAGCGTACTGCGATCGAGTGACCTCAGTTGCATCTTGAATCCTTTCGTATCTGCATATCTTCTATATCATGCAGGTATCATCATATCGGTCATGTTGCATCAAGGAGTGATTACTGATCGGTGATCTCGTATGTAGGCGATTTCGATCATCTAGGGCTTGGGAGTAGGCCATATTCCAGATACTTCCGATGGCGATCTACATCTGCTATGTCGGGAAAGAAGCATCGCTTCGAGATGTGTTGCTCACGCCCATCCATCTATGTAGCACTTCCACACCATCCTACTCTGCAACAACCTTCCCGTTCTCCTTTCCGCCCTCAACAGCCGCTCCACCCTTGAACTTGAACCTTTTCAACCCCCGCACACCAACATTGATCTTGAAACAACTGCCTGCATGCTCATCAACCGGTCCTCCATTCTCTCCGCTTGTACCGCCAGAGCTAGTAATGAATAGCTCTTCGCCAACAAAGCAAGGGCACGTAGGTTGGCTGGTAGGCACCTTGATCTCCGCCACAACCTCACCTTGCGGCGAGATTCTCAGTACATGCCATCCGCCGTGAAGAGCAGTCCACATGTAGCCCTCCTCATCAAGGCAGTGACCATCCGGCACAGCACCCTTTCCGTAGCGCTCATCCTCTGGCATGGTGAAGTACGGACGCTTGTTGCTAATCTCGCCTGTCTTGGGGTCAAAGACGAACTGCCAGATAGTTTTCGTAGGGCTGTCGGCAAAGTACATGGTATCGTCCTTCTTGTTCCACGTCGTCCCGTTGGGGATCACGATGTTGCTCATTGGGCGATCGAGACTGCCATCGGGGTTTAACCGGAACACGGCGCCGTCCTCGCGCCACTCAGACACCATGGGGTCGAACATGAAGCCGCACCAGAAGCGGCCTGCAGAGTCGACAGCGCCATCATTGCCGCGGAAGTTCTCGTGCTTGTTAGCTGAGATTTCATCCTCAGACCAGACTTTCTTAACCCATCGGTATTCGCCGGTTTGCTTGTTGGCGATGCCGTAGCCGTATTTGCCGCCGAAGATGAACTCGGAGTCGTTGCCTTCAATGTCTGCGGTAGCGCATACACATATGTCGTAGTCCTTGACAGTAGTCAGGCTGGAAGGGCCTTTGGCCACATCCACGCGGAGTAGCTTCTTCTTTTCAATGTCCATGAAGCGAATTGTGTTTGTTTCCTCTTCCCAGAAGGGGCCTTCGCCTAGGGAGTAGTATGTCTTGAGCCATGGCTGGGCGATTGTTAGTGAGTGAATTCCTCTTGGAAATGGGAATAAGTGTCGCGTCGCTCTTATGCGTCTTGTGAGCGATAGGCCAAACATAAAGAGTAGTGTTGCGATGCTCAAGATGCGGCTGTATGACCTCAGCGGGGCTGGGCCACCCAAGTACCCCTCCTACGCCACCTCGAGGAAGGCACCCCAAGGAAACCAAATCCACGTACCTCTGTAATCTCATACTTCTTGATTCCAGACATTGCTGCAAAAGTCTCTGGGGCCTGGTTTGATGTAGGAGTGTCGCTCTCTTCGGCCTTTTGTTGGCTGCTGGCTTGTTGATGTTGTAGTGTATTGTTGTTCTTTCCCGAAGCGCCCGTCACGGCGGCCCTCATCGAGGACCACAATTTGGATAGCGTCGCTCCCATTTTCCGTTATGACGTCCCGATGAGCCGCCAATGAGGCTAGGAAGACCGTTGCTCTTGCTCCACTGTTTTTTGGACGGCTCCCGCGTTGAGTACACCTTCCGCTTCAGCGCGATAATGCAACGTATGTCAATGTCTGTGAGTAGTAGGGAGAATTGAAGAGTCGCAGAGTATTGATTGTACTAGACGTGGAGCAAGTAGGAATATTTCCATTAATCACGGAGCTGAGGAGTCCATATGTTGGGTACTGCACTGCACTGACATCTTGCACCACCTCAAAGGATTGTTGCCGTTCGTGCGGTTGCCCAGCGGCGCGCCCTGACCTCTGTTGCGCATTTCAGCAGGAGCATCGTCTGGCAGAAACGGGTACAGAAGCAGTATAGTGAGCGGTATTGCTCAGTGCTGATAGAATGTAGCGTTTGATGAGGCGATGCTAACGGTATTTCGCCGGCTAATCGGTCCGCCACCGCCTACAGGAAGAAGCTCGTTTGACGATGCTGCGGGAGTGTTGTATCTTTGTTCCGGCTGAACTGGGCTAATCTCGACACGGCTGCCGTTGTCACGCGTCTTCTGGAACTTTATGTGGAAGATTTTGATTGATTACTGAGGGGCGTATCGCCTGTAGGTGATCTGGCCTGTTTGTCTACCTCCAACGTTTTGCACGTGCCTACAGAGTTAGGGGGGTTGACGTGCCACGCAGGAGGACCTGCGGTACCTATCTGCCTCCAACGAAAAGTCTGTTAGCATCAATCTAAAGTCGGCCTTTTCTCCGTTTCGCTGGACATCCTGACACCAATAAGCCCGGGTTCGATAAGCATCATGTTGTCAATGCATTGGCGAGTGTTTCCAACGAATACCCAACACCGGAAGTCCTCTTGCGCTCGACCGAGATTGCAGGTAACGGTTGAGACGCATGCACATCTATCCGAAGCAGCAGTGGACTGATCATACATCCGTGCTGCTTCAGCATGACGTCGAGACACCATGAGGGAGATCGCAAGACTGTAGCATGTGCTGCGGACGTGGAACTGTTCATCTGCACATGATCAATGTGTACTCTGCTGTCTGCTATTCAATAAAAAAAGAGGGTCCCAATGACCAAACGCCATATATGCAAGTCGAATTCTATGCGCCTTCCACCTATCCCCTAGATAAAAAGAAAAGAAAAAGGTTCAAACGGCACTTTCCAAGCCTACAACTACCTCTGCTCCACAAGCAGCAAATGCATAGCCGCATATGCCAGCACCACAAACGCACCGGCAAACACGCCCAGCCCAATACAATCCTTCCACAGCGCCTGCGTGTTGAAACCAAACGAGCTGAGGATAGCGGAGCCAGGGACTTCAATGTCGAGGCCGTACTTGTGGTCGATGAGGGAGAGGTATTTGACTTCGTTGACGATGAGGCCCTCGAAGGCGTAGTGGAAGATTGATAGCTGGGAAGCATATGTTAGCAAAGATGGACTTGTGCGTGAAGGGGCGAGTTGGGACTTACCGATTGCAGCCACTTGGCTATAGCAGGAATACTCTCCTTGTTGAGAAAGAAGCCAGAGAAGAGGAGACTGAAAAGCATGACTAGCACGCCGATCAGGTTGGCGACGCCTGAGTTGCGGAATACAATGCCGATGAAGAGGAAGATGGCTGCGGCTGCGAGGTTGAACAGGACGAGGAAGAGCGTGAACTTGAGGAAGTTGGGCCATGCGGGGATGAGGCCAGTCATTGGGTACACGATGATACCGAGGATGATGGGTGGAAGTAGGCGCAGAGGAATGATGTCGAAGATGACCTTGGCGGCGAAGTAGGCGGGTGGGGAGTAGTATCCCTTGGCACGTTCGCGGGTGAAGAGGAGTCTTTCGGGAGCGAAGACGGTGAGGATGGTCAAGCTGCTGAAGCCGAAGAGTGACAGGACGAACAGGAATAGACCGAGGCGGTTCTGGAAACCCTTGATGTCGTCTGTGAGACCGTAGAAGAGGAAACCAAGGAAGACAGCGAGGACAATGGCGATGGCGTAGTGGGTAAGCATGAGCATGGGGTTGCGGTAGAGGTTGCGCCAGGTTCGTCGAGACAATATTCTGAACTGGCCAAAGAGACCGACCTTCCTGAAGCCCTTGAGCTTTCCTGCTGCGACGAAACCGTTTGGCTGTTGCACTCCGTTGGTGCCGTTGGCTTGATTTGCGCTGGCTACCGAGCTAGCAATGTCGTCGCGAATCCTAGCTGCAATGTCGGAGGATGCATAGGCGTTGATCAGGAGGTCAAGGTTGGTTCCAGTGGCGCCATTGGCAGGAGGCGGGAGCTCATCAGGGTCTTCGAGTATTTGAGGGGGCACGCCACCTTGTTGACGAGTGAGCTTCATCCATTGGGCCTTGATAGCGCCTCGGCGATCGTAGGGAGCTTCGTCATCAGTCTTGGGGGACATCGCACCGTCGTTAACAGAAGCAGTGTTCTTCTTCCTCGTGAAAAGCTCGCGTTCTTGCTGCTGCTTGATAGACGTCCTCCTCTTGCTCTTGGGTCGCAGTATGCTAGAATTGCTGGGACTACCAGCAATGTCTCGTTCAAGCTCCGATGTGTTGATGCTAGGAATGGACTTGACAGCAATTGCACTGCTTGCGCTTGTAGTGAGTCCGTCGCGGTTGAGATCACGGTTGAAGAGCGAGCTGTCTTCGTCGATAGGCTTCCGTGCTGTGCTCGCGTGCATGGTAAGATCCACGATGTAATCGGCAATGTTGAAACCAGGTGGGCAGGTGTAGCCGAGCTCGTCGAAGTAGTTCTGGCAGTTCTCGAATGGTCCAGAGTAGACAGCTCTGCCCTTCGCAAGCAGTATCAGTTGGTCGAAGAGAGCGACAATGTTGGAGCGTGGCTGGTGAATAGTGAAGACGACAGTTCGGTTGTAGTTCTTGACCAGGTTGACAAGGCACTCGACGACGTTGAAAGCATTGTAGGCGTCCAGGCCACTTGTGGGCTCGTCCAAAAAGAGGATGCTGGGCGAGGTAACAAGTTCGCAGGCAATACCGACACGACGCTTCTCACCACCCGAGATTCCACGACCACTTTCCTCAGAGCCAATCTTCTGGTTGCGAATGTGGTAGATACCGAGTTGACGTTCAACGTCTTCTACCTTTTGCTCCTTGGAAATGCGACTCATCTCCTTGGGCAGGCGCAACAGTGCAGAGTCGAGGATCGTCTCGTGAACAGTCAAGGTAGGCAAAAGGGTGTCTTCCTGGTCAACGAAACCAATGACGCTCCTGAACTCGTCATCGCGGACCTTCTCGCCATTGATATAGAAATCGCCACTGTCGGTTCCAATCTTCTTCTTGCGGGCCAAAATATCAAGGAAGGTAGTCTTTCCAGCACCAGAGGCACCCATGATAGCCAAGAGCTCTCCGGGGTGGACAGCGCCAGAGATGCCAGACAGAATCTGCTTTCCTTTCAGGTTGTAGGCGACGTTCTCGAAGAGGAAGGAAGCTGGCTTGTGGTCGGCGAGCAATTTCGCATCCTCGTCCTCCTCATCGTCCGACAGGTGGATAGGACCGTATCGATGGCTCTCCGCGCGGTGGGTAATGTACCAGATGGCCAAGATAGCCGCCACGATGAATAGTGCGATTCCTGCAATGACGCCAGCGATCAACGGAGTGTTGATCTTCTTGATGGGTCTCTCGTAACCTGGCACTTCGGTCTGGTATAGACACTCGCCCGTGTCGCATTGTAGGAAGATGCTTTCGTCGCCGAAGATGCTCGAGATGAGGTCATTCATAGCAGGTTCCGAGAAGATGCTTCCGCTGTCTTTGCTGTTGATAGCCGAGATGCCTCTGAATTCAGCAGGACCCTTGATGGACTCCTTCAAGAAGTCACCAATGTCAACAGAGCCATCTTCTCCACAGAGCATCCTGTCAGGAACACATTCGCACTTGATGTTCTCGCATCGGTATTTCGTGATGTTGCGGTCGGATTCGGCGGTGAAGTGGGAGGAGCACGTGTCGAGGGCGCAGTAGAAGGATTCCCTTTGGTCGACCCAGACTGCGATGGTTAGCTGGGAATGAAGGGTGGAAGACATGAAGCTTACATTGGAAGTTGCATTCCTCTGACTCGGCATTGCAAGAGAAGGTCGCCTGTGGTTTCTTGTCCTTCAACGTGTCGAGGATCTTTCTGTTGGTAATGTCGCAAATCTGGAAGTTCTCCTTGACCAGCTGGCCGTCCTTGTAGCAGACGCCGCCCTCTCCATCCGGCATCATGGCGTTGCAGGCATCGTTGGTCTGGCAGACGTTGCAGTTGATGCCAGACCAGCCCTCTGAGCATTCGCACTCCTTTGCGCCTCCGCGTGGTGAGCGGTTCTTGCCATCGGGCAGGGCGCCGCAGAGGGGTTCTGAGCAGTCCTCGCCTCCAAATCCAGGCCCACAGTTACATCTCCCGTTCGCTTTGCTGCAGTCGGCAAACTGTTTGCACTTGAAGTCTTCCAGGTTGCAGTTGAAGCATGGCGGACAGCCATCGGGTCGGTCGCCGTAAATGGAGAAGAGATCCTGTGGCGAATCGGCGAGGGTGTAGTTGGCGAACGTCTTGTGGGCGGTCGCCGTCGATGCCAGGCCCAGCAAGGCGGCGAGCGACGTCGCCCAGGTCCGTTGGCGCATCGCGTCTTGTTTGCGGCGCGGGACAAGCTATGCGATAGCTATCTAGGTTGTCGTGTGCCTGCTTCTTTCGAGAGTAACGTGACGAGACGGAAGGTGACTGTCAAAGTCAAAGGAACGGCAAGAGCTGGGCAGCTCGCGATGGTGATGAGGGACAACAGGTAGCAACGGGTGGCCAGATGATGGCAGTGCTGCTATCATCGGCCTGCGGCGACGCTGATTCGTGGAGGCTGGGCTGTCTCCAGCCAAGCACCATGGCGGACCGCTAGACCGAGGCACACGCCAACAGGTGATGCAGGCAACATGGTCCTCGTCATCATCGATATCTGGCACAACATGCAGAAGCGCAGGATATGGATATACATCACGCGACTGGCAGCCTCGTCTCTAGTAACGCGCTGATCAACGTGATCGCGCGCCATCAGCGGCGACGCGCTCTTGCCAGCCCAACCTAGCCGTCGGAGCGCTCTAGCAACTAGCTCGCCCGCTTCAGCGGAACCTCGAGAGGCTATCATGTGCGCCCTATGTCAATCCCCAGAGCCCTGAGACATCCAAACTATTTGAACTAATTTTTCTTTGCGGTTTTCCACTCGTCACAAAACATACTCTGCATTGCAAGCCACAATGGTCAAAATCGAAGAATTCGCCGTCGAGTCCGTACGTCCATTCCCCGCATCTCACACTCCACGTGGGGAAATGACTAACTTGCCCAGTGGATGGATGCGTACGAGACGAAATGCAAGTACAACATCGCCGAGACGTGTTGCGCCTCAATTTCCGTCGATCAGCTACGCGAGCTGTCGGAGAACAAAGATCAGCCTGTTTTCGACACCTCGCGTGTCCTGAACTACGGGGCCATCAGAGGAAGTGACGACCTGCGCAACAACTTGGCAAGACTATATTCTGCCAAGGTCACAAACCCCCTCTCTCCTGATAATATCCTCATCACTCCTGGCGCCATCCAAGCAAACTACTTGACTGCATACGCCCTCGTTGGACCGGGAGACCATGTCATCTGCCACTACCCCACCTACCAGTCCCTCTACGAAGTGCCAAAGCAACTGGGCGCCGAAGTCGACCTGTGGAAAGCAACGCCAGAGAACAAATGGGTACCAACTATCGACGACTTGAAGTCGCTCATCAAGCCCAACACCAAGCTCATCATCATCAATAACCCCAACAATCCCACTGGAGCCATTCTGGGCAAGACCTTCCTCCAAGAACTCATCGACATCGCGACCGAAAAGGACATCACCATCATGAGTGACGAAGTCTACCGCCCTCTATTCCACTCCATCATCCCAATAGACAAAGAGTTTCCACCCTCCCTCCTGTCCATGGGCTACAAGAACGTCATCGTCACAGGTTCCATGTCAAAAGCCTATTCACTCGCCGGTATTCGCATCGGCTGGATAGCATCTCGCAGCTCTGAAATCATTGAAAAGATCGCTTCAGCACGGCACTACACCACAATCTCCGTGTCCTACTTCGACGAAGCCATCGCCGCCTACGCTCTCCACTCATCAACAGTGCACAGTCTACTAGCTCGCAACATCCAGCTCGCGAGGACCAACTTAGAGCTTCTGGAGAAGTTCCAACTCAAGAACGAGGATGAGTGCGAGTGGGTGAAGCCTGTGGCTGGCACTACGGCTTTCGTCAAGTTCCACCGAGAAGGCAAAGCAGTGGATTCAGTTGACTTTTGCAAAAAGTTGCTGGAGGCTACGGGCGTCATGTTTGTGCCTGGTAGTACTTGTTTCGGCGAAGAGTTCAAGGGGTACGTCAGGATCGGGTTTGTTAATCAGACGGACGTTATTAAGGAGGGGTTGGATGCAGTGACGAAGTTCATACGGAAGAATCTTGATGAGGTGGAGTTGGCAGAGTAAAGTAGTGTATGGCCAGTAGGAAATGTTTACAAAGTACATACAGTTTGCACATCGCAAGTCGGTCCGAAACAGCCACAGCCACAGCGCCACACTAGCCGCAACATTGAGGGCGGCTAGTGGACTCAGCCCTGTGGACGCCTTACATACGCCCGTCTCACAGGCAGTGAGATTTTACAGCCACGACCAGTGATCAACAATTTATACCCTACCGATACTATGTAGATAGTAAGCGCTGTGATACAATGAAAACCTGTTCCCCTCTCATCCCACCAGATACCCTCCCCACTGTCCCCATCACTCCATCCCCGCACTTCTCTCCTTCAACTACATACACATCATTCCTACAATGACAGACCCATCCAAACTCCAAGTCCCAGAGCCGTCCACCGAGAAGGAGAGCAACAACCCCACAGCCCCTCTCGTAAACGTAACAAGCGCATCCACAACCTCCACATCAACATCCAGCTCAAAACCCCCCACATCAACACCAGACCGCCCCTCATCCTCACATTCCTGGCGGTCAAAACTGCACATACATTCCGGTTCCCGCCGTTCCAAATCCGTTGAACCAGGCAAAGAGCGCTGGCGGGATGCGACGCTGCCTGAGAAGGAGCGATGGAAGGATTGGCAGAAGGCCAAGGACAAGGAGCAGATGGCCGGGTAAGTGGTTGTGACAGGAGATCTTCAGGGGGGTGTGCTAATATGAAGGATGATAGGTCGACGATAGGTGCATACACGCAGTTCTACAAGGGGAAGGGAAGTACGGGGTATTGGGTGGATGTGGGGTTTTGAGAGTGTGGAATCTTGGGGTTAGAATCAGCATCAAGGCATAAATGGAAGATAAAGGCCGTCTGTTTTCAGTAACATGGTACACGAACTGTATGGACGACATGCCCAAGTGGCGTGGAAATGAAAGAAGACTGTGGCACGTAAGAGAGAAATACACACTGCGATTAGACTGTCTAAGAATTCATAAACTGATATCGCACACACTCCAAATCTCGAGAATCATTCTGCTACACGTTCATCGTTCGCTAAATAGTTCCTGTTTGCCTCCTTGACAACGACCACCGAGAAACAACGGGAAGAATGGAAAAGGGGGTATCATAATATGCAGCGATGATCAAGAGATCTACAAGGGGTATAATGTGAAGGGAAGGAAGTGTGACAGCAAGGAAACAGCTTGCCGTAGCCGAAAACCGAGTGCGTGAGCTTGCTGGACGCTATATGTGATCGCGATGTGACAGGGTGTTGAACGCTGTCATGGCAGTCGGAGACTTTACCAATGCGTGTTGAATCGATGAGCTTCAGGTGCTGTGTATTATGGCTGATCACGGAGTGAGACCATGTCGAACACCTCTTCCTCATTGTACGGGCTCGATTGCGAAACCTCGGCCCAGCCTGTTTTGTCCTTGGTATGCGACATGGCAGGCGCGACAGGCCTATGCCTGGTTTCTGGATCTGGAAGGCATGGGGATTGTGATACCGGGTATGACCTCTATTGACAAAGAGATACTCCAGGAGCGACTACCACCTTGCCGGCTCATCCAGACTTGGCGATGAGAACATGAATGTGGTATGCTCAGGAAAGTCTTGGTTGCTTCGATGAAGTCGACGTCCACTGAAGTGGCGTGATTGATTCCTACTCGATCGAGGACGGCGCCGGTATGGGTAGCTATGACTGTTCTCGGCATCTTGTCGAGAAAGATGGGACCTCCAGAGTTGCCTACCCCTTCTTGTTAGCATTTCTCCAAAGCCTAGATGTATCTCAGGGTTGGCACTTACCGCTTACGGTCGATAGCTTATACTCTAAAAGCTTTTCGGTCGCCTGCTTAGCCTCGCCCGCCACTTCGTACATGCATCCAGCTGTCTGACAACGTGGACATGAACCGCGGACTTGCTTTTTGTTTTCGCCAGGATAGCCTACGACGAGCACTCTTGTCTCTACCGGTAATGATGGCGCCTGGTATACAGCTGGCGTGACCTGCGTGAACTTGTTTTCGAGCTTGATTAGGGCCATGTCGTTTTGCGAAGCGAATTCAGAGCGTTTCCATTCTTGAAGCACTATGGCGATTCTTCCGAAACGCTGTTGAACACCACTTCCTTCGAATGAGGAGCCTTGACGGTGGTATCCAATGTACGCCTTGATAGATACTGCTCGAGAGACATTGTTGTCTCCACCACGATCTCGAACGTTATGTGCCGCGGTGAGAACTAGGTCGAGTCCTATGAGGACTCCCGAGGCATCGAACTCGTGATCGTCCTCATCCAGAACCTCAAGCTTAACGACGGCTATTGTAATTCATCAGCGGTGTTACCACTTTGGCAGCTGTAGTCACTTATATCGGTAATCTCCGTTTGCAGCTTTGTACCGGGCTTCGTCCACATGAAATCGAAGACTTTTCTTGACTAATGCCTCAGTCCATGGCCCATACGAGGTGAGCTTCCAAGCCTCCAACTCTTTCCGGACTGTGGGCCTACTGTTATTCTTGTTTGGTTTTGGGCATCCACCACGTACGGAGGAGGAGCGGGACTTTCGCATGCTTGGGGAGCGAGGGCGGTCGCGTATGACGTCAGTTGTGGGCGGGCGAAGGAACAGTAAAGAGGGAGAGAGTGTATGCAAGGCCTTATATGCCAGGCTAGAGGGGCTTTCCGCTGGTATTCGGTAGCATCGTTTGTTGTTGACAGCCCGGATGGTCAATGTAGCGTTGGGCAGTTGCGAGAGCGGACGAGTTGACGGTTCGACTACCCGCTCAATTTTTGTTCAGTGCTCCATGGACCATGGAACAACGACCTACGTCAGTCGGCATTGTGGCTGTGGTTTTGCGCAGGGGGCTGGCCCCAGTCCTAGATCTCCCATTCGTTCAAGGTTGTATGCAGTCACGCTGCAGGTAGGTCAGCTGGCTAGTTCTGGACGCAGGAGTCTCTCTCAGCCCTGTCTGCAAATCCAGGCCATAGCACAGCCACGAGTGCCTGCGTAGACAATGTTGACAAACAGGCGGAAAGCAAGATGTGGAAGAATTGGACAGGAGCGAAAGCGTACACCTCGTTACTCATCGTCATCCTGAGCGGGTGGCAAGAAGCATTCGATCCTGCGTTTCAATGCACCAGACGTACGTTAGAGGTTTATCGACAGCATTGCGCTTTGCAAATAGCGCGGGCCCGGTATCTTACAGTATTCTACAGTTGCCTGCCGTTATATACATATCTTGTACATGATATACTACCATGATTCGTAATAGATCGTGTGCCGTCGTATCAACAACGGACACTTCCAAGGTCAGCTGGAGTTGTCGCCACCCATAATGCTAGCGCTTCTTCGATCTCAGCGAGCTCGTAGTTGTGAACACTAGGAACGACTTCCTCAAAACATTTCAGAGTATTTCCCTTGAACGTGTGCGCGACGTCTTATTCTTCAGGTATGATTCGATCGACAGCTGTCTTGGTTAATATTCATCTCAGGATTGTGATCACATAAACATACCTTTGCCGTTCTCGAGCAAGTACCCCGAGCAGTCAATCTTCCACTCATCACCCCTCACCTTGACCTTCGCAATGCCAAACCTTAGCACCGCGAACTTGAACTTCAAAAAGAAGTTAGTCCACTTCTGATGCACCCACCGCGCAGAACCCTCCCACACACGCGCCGCAATGTTCATATGTCCCAAGTCATCCCAAAGCTTCTGCCGTTTAAATCGTTCTGCCTCGAGCAGCTCAGCGACCATGGGCTCTGTCTTCTCACTTATTGTCGCTTTCCCCAAATCCGTGTATATGACGCGCTCTTTCAGCCACGGCACTGGCTTGACAACCATACGCAATTGCATGGGCCCGCCCTGCAGACTAGGAAGGATTTCCAGTGCGCGCATGCGGTTGCTGGGCGCGGTGCAGATGTAGCAGCCGATGATGATGAAGCCCACTCCTACCACGACGTAGGTTGGACGGACGAAGAAGGACAGTCCATTGTCTTTGATGTCGTCATTGAACTTGATCGAGAAGGCGCCAACACCAATCCATAATGCTCCCGTTCCGTACACCTTCAAATAGTACCACTTGTTCTTGGGCGCTTGGTAGAGGAGGACCGGCTGGCGGGTTTGGACGACTTGGCGGAGGACGGGGTCGCTGCTCACGAATGAGCTGGGTTTCGGTGCGACTACATTGGTCTTGGGATATTGGTAGCGTCGGAGCACGGAGGATGTGAAGGAACGGTTCTGCCGTATCGTGCGTATCGTGGTGGGTGTGAAGAACAATTCCCGTGTTCCGAAGAGGGCGGCGCGGAGGGATGAGGGGAGGCGGAGGGTGTGTTGGCGCAGGAAGGCATCGAAGCCCCGGGAGAAGGCGGGCATTGTGAGTGCAGTGATACGGGGTTTCGATGCAGCGCTATACACCTTGCATACTCCAACAAGTTAATGCGGCAGTACGTGGGCGTGGATGTCTTCGCGATATATCGGGAAAAAGTCCAGCTAGAAGCGGCCCAAGCGCGTCCCGCTCGACACCTCCGAAGCTTGTTCCGCCCAACATTTCCGCCAGCAGATCGGCACCGTCGCTCAACACCCTCCCACTGCCATTGTCTCCGCCCGTCAATTGATTTCCCATGGCTTCGCTCGCCGCGGTATGTAGGGTCTCGGCGCGTGCTGCCTCGCAGCAGTTGCGCAACCAAGGTGCTCGGAGAGGACTGCACTCAAGTCAGGCTTCGCTCGCTGCGCAAAGCTTCAACATGCCCGCGCTTTCACCCACCATGACCGAGGGCAACATTGCGAGCTGGAAGATCAAGGAGGGAGACTCTTTCTCCGCCGGCGACGTGCTGCTGGAGATTGAGACGGACAAGGCGCAGATGGACGTCGAAGCGCAGGATGACGGTATCCTGGCCAAGATCACTGTACGTGGGAAGATAAGTTGGCTTCAGGCCATGGCTAACACGAACTCCAGGTCCAGGACGGTTCCAAAGCAGTCCAGGTCGGCACACGGATAGCCGTCACAGCAGAGCCCGGCGACGACCTGTCCACCCTCGAGATACCCGCCGAAGAGAGCCCCGCGCCCAAGAAAGAGGCCGAAGCGCCCAAGGAGTCCAAGAAAGAGCCTGCGCCGGTACCAAAGGAGGAGCGAACCTCTGCCCCGCCTGCCAAATCCGATGCCTCGAAGAAAGCCTCCAGCGGCAAGGCCTCCAAGCAAACCTACCCGCTATACCCCTCCGTACAACACTTGCTCGAAGTCAATGGCCTGCCAAAGGAGGAGGCTGATAAGATCCCCGCGACTGGCCCTGGCGGCAGGCTGCTCAAGGGAGACGTACTCGCGTACGTTGGACAAATCGAGAACTCCTACCCTTCAGAGCTGGCGCGTCGCTTTACTAAGCTATCGCACCTCGATTTCTCCAACATCAAGCCCATGCCCAAGAAGGAAGCATCAAAGAAGCCAGCAGCCAAAGCACCAGCGGTTGTCCAAGACCTCCCTATCGAGGTAGCACTACCTGTCTCCCTCACCGCAGTAATGGAGTGCCAGAAGCGCGTCAAGGACTCAATAGGCGTCTTCCTACCTCTGTCCACATTCGTCGCGCGCGCCGCCGAGCTCGCCAACGAAGACCTCCCCCGATCCAAGGTCGCAAAGCCAACCGCCGACGAGCTATTCAACGCTGTTCTGGGTCTCGACAAGGTATCATCGAAGTACTCGCGGGGCAACTTCGTCCCAGAAGTCACCGCGCTACCACCCACCACCGTCCCCAGCAAGCGCGCCCCAGCACCAAAGTCGGACATTCTCGACATGCTAGCCGGCAAGAAGACTTCCGCTAAGAAGTCCGTTTCAGGCGCAACTGGCGTCGCGGGTCCCCTCAACGTATTCAGTGTGAGCGTGCCCAAGGGCGACGAGAAGCGCGGTCGTGTTTTCCTCGAGCGCGTAAAGACGGTGCTTGAAGCCGAGCCAGGGCGATTGGTCGTTTAGGTGAAGATCGTTGCGCGATTTGTATCATATTGCATCTATACCTACCTGTTTAGAGGGTAGAGGTACCGGCAGGTAGCCATTCCCACCTCATCCCAGAAAAACTTGAATACGTCTAGAGCCTACATCGACGCCAAGTCACCTATCTTATAGGCTTTCATGTTGATGTAGGCTGCGGGCCTGTTCAGTTTTTTTTCTTGGTTGACGTACAAGTACCGGCTGGTAGCCATCCCCACTACACTTTCATGACGAATACCAATTTTTAGACGAATGCTTTATACTTGTTCCTCCCATCGCATGCATGTCCCGGCCTCAACATTAGGTTATCGCTCCAAGTTGAGAAGTCACACGCGCGGTACTTCCCCTAGAGAAACTACCCACGCAACCCCCTCACGTTTCCATTCTATCCCGCGATTCGCTGCCCACATGGTGTTCTTGACGATCTCATCTTTTGCCGGCCTGGTGCGGAGGGTTTGTAGGTAAGGTGTCGGGGTAAAGTAAAATGCCGCAAAGCTACCACGTCGCACCAATGCAAAATACCGCAGTCTACTTCGGCGGCTGCGCCTCATTGAGATTGTATACATAGGAAGACCGCCTAGGAAAACGAAACTTTGCATGCACTCTCGATCTTCTGTACTTGCACATTCGTTCCTTCTGTAACTGATGCTAGCAGTCACGCCCGAAGCGGTTAGTGCGATGGGTCTCATGGCCCCGGGGATGCCCGAGCGCCAGAAGGGAACTCCGTGTCGCTTGGGCTCGCAGCGGCAACAATCTTGGAAGGATGTCACGCACTGTGATTCACAAACTGCAGTAGGCAAAATGTATGATGTGGTAATCTTTCTTATTATATCTAAGGATCGTAATGCACGTTGTCGTGGTCATGTCTAAGCATTCTATATGACTAACTTTTGTGCTAGGCAGGTATCATGCTCGCGAAGAGCAAGAAAACCTCCTCGCATACTCCTAGCAGGGCCTCCTCACCCTGCAATATCTCACTTTATACAGTTCCTCCATAGGTAAGGCTCTAAGCCTTCTCCTGCATGTTCTCGCTACCAGCGACAGAAGAGTCGCGGCTGTAGTAGCGACCAAAGGTACGGTCCTCGATGTCCATGTTCTTGTCGACCTTTCCATTGCCGTGCTTAGCAGCCATACGGCGGAAGTAGACGCGCTTGCACCACTTCCAGAGCTCGATACCGGCAAAGAAGATACCAGTCTCGACGAAGACAATACCCCACTCCCAGTCGATGGGCGCGTGCTTGAACACAACGGTGTTGAGAACAGGGATGTAGATGAGCGGGAAGAGGAGGACGAAGCCGATCATAATGGCCCAGAAGAGGAACTGGTTCCTCCATACATCGAGCATCCACTGGGTGAAGTAGCGCTTGCTGCCGGGCTGCATGCGGAAGAAAGAACGACGCATATCGATCATCTCCCAGGCGAGGAAGAGAGCGAACCATGTC